AAGGTTTACAAGCAGGAATGCGTAGCTAAGCATCAAGACAGTAGGAATTAATGTTTTAGTTCATCCTATACTAGATTTAAAGAGAAAATAAAATAGATAAAAAATCTCGTATTAACCTAGTGTGAGCCGTAAGAACTGTCACTTGCATTATCTTTTGTACAAAAAAAAATAATCGTTATAAGAAGTAAGCGTAGCGGGACAAATAGAAAAGAACATAAAAATAAAATACTTAAAATAGAAAAACTAATAATTTTTTATTGTACCAGACAAGCGTGGAAGGTGTTTATAATGTTGTTTAGAGGATGAAAAAATTGTTAATGATTGACAAAGAAATTTAACATTTACTTTTCACAGTTCGGTATAACGGTTATTTTCCTAAAGTAATAATAAAAGTTTTTATTATTATTCTCTAATTTTCTGGGTAAAAAAACGAATTAGAAAATTTTATATTCATTAATGTTGTTTAATATATATATATACATATATACATATATACATATATACATATATATATACATATATATATATGTATAATATATATTATATATATAATATATATTATATATATATATAAATATACATATATATACATATATATATATATATATTATATATATATATATATATACATATATATACATATATATATTATATATATATATTATATATATTATAATATATATATATATATATATATATATAATATATATAATATATATGATAAAACACTCACGGCTTCTGAATCAATACTGCTTTATTCGTCAAATAATCCTGCTTATATACATTCGGCATGTTATTTACATTGCAGGATGGTATTAAGGCTGATATCGTTAGTCTCTGGTCTTTATCTCCCACCCAACAGTTTACGAACAGGATTTCGAAAACCCTCAAGTATTCCTAGAGCGGAGCGAATTGTTATCAGCCTTAACACCATACACCTATACACTTAAAATAAACACAATAAACAACGCACTCCTTCTCAAAAAATAATAATGTCTGTCTGTACATTTATAATAACAATTATTCAAAGAAATTTAATAACAATAGTTACTTTTGTCTGTTAAAAGTAATGAAGGCCTCTACTTGCATTAATGTCGCGCGATGCGTTAGCAATACTGTAGAATACTTTGATAACAGAACAAAGTCCCTTTCTTCCAAATAAACCTATCGGCAATTCCGTATTGTTTCACTAATATGACAACTGTCACAACCGTACCTATTCTCCCTCGCTTATATTTTTAGTTGATTTTTTTATTGATTTTCTTTTTTTTTTTGCTCTCGTCAATCTCTGCTGGTTTTGTATCAGGCGTTGAGAGAGTAGCGCAGGATTCTCCTGGATTTCCCTCTCCTGATTGAAAATAGTGTATATAGTTATGCATGTGTTTCTTGCTTGGTTTTAATTTTCTTATTTTTAGGTTATTCTATTTTATTTATTGTGTATACTTTTTCATTTTTATTGATTGTTATTTTGCTTCTATTTATTTTACATTTTTTGTACATATAGTGTGAATGGTGTCCTACCTCACTATAACTAGTGTCCATGTGACAGATTGTTGTAATGCTCAATAAATAAATAAAAAATAATAATAAAGTTGATTTTTTTTCATTTTCTTTTGGTATTGCAGACCTTGTGGATTTTTTTTTTTTGCCTTAAGGAGATATCTCCATCTCTGTCTGTATTGTGATATTCATTCCAATTATTTGCACGCAGCCTTATTGCACCTTTGTTGATTCTTTCTGTCCATTTTTAGGTTTTACAGTTGTAAATTTCAATAAACATATTCATTTACAGCAAAAAAAAAAAAGTATACGGTATCTGAGGTAGTTTTATTAACAATAATTTACTATTTTTCTTTATCATTGTTGGGGCCAGGGGTACTTCAAAATCGAAGTACAAATCATTCCCCGGTGCGTTTCCTCAATGGTGGGGAAAATTCAAGTAAAATTAAAAATGTTGGGAAAGAAGGGAAAAAAAGAGTGAATAAAAATGAGACCTGTAAAACATTAAAGAAAAAAACAAATGCATGCAAAAGAAAATAATATTAAATAAATCAAAATGGAAAATGAAAAATCCCGTTCTAAATGCTTACAAATTTATTGAGATAAAAAATATATACAATATTTAAAAAACAAATAAAGAGTGGCACGAATTTCATTGAAATGAATAAAACACAAAATATAATACTCAGTGAACATAAACCCAAATTAACAATTATTAATAAAGCAAAAGAAATCAAATTTCTAAAATTAAAACTAAAACAAGAGAGAAAAATGATTGTCTTAAAGAACAAAACTAATTTATTGAGATAACTTAATGTTCAAATGTCTTGGTGAGAATAAAAAACACAAAAGATGTTAGTTACCTGATGTTCAGCTGTCAAAGCAGTCGATGGTGGGAGGATCGATATGCATATCGATCCCGATCGATGATACAGCCGTTATAAAAAAATCGCGCTAGGCTGGTGAGTCGAGGTGAACCTGGAGCAGAAGGTGGGGATAGCCGTCCACTATGTGGATCCGTCATCAAAAGCCAGCTCCAGACTGCCTTCCCAGCCGTATTTTTATGTCTTAATCCCTAAGACAGGGTATTACTGCCGGGCTGGTGTGTATACACAAACGCGATAACACATCGCAAACGAAGCCTAATATACAAATTATATAAACTTAAATATATTTCTGAGACAATTTTCCCTCAGTTTTTACCAAAAAAAAAAAACAAATAAACATTTTATTGTTGGCTAACATTAAAAAAGGGATAGTGAAAAAAAAATAAAAGAATTGAGCGTATGCGGCGTTAACAGTCGAACTTGATTCCGTACAAAGCAGTTTGGATATTTATTTTTATTTTGGTATTAAACTCAGTGAATGATTAAATTAAGTTAAAATGAGATACATTGAAAATTAAACAGTCTCAAATATAAATCTAGGACAGAATAATAGAGTTAAATGCGAAAATAATAAAGCTAACGGCCAATATGGAAGGAGCCGTCGAACAGACGCTGGACTTTATTGAGCCTCGCCGGGGCTTAGGTTGGCCCAAATGAAATGTTTTTACAACCCGGTCGGCCCAATTGCCCCCCGCCGCTTTACGAGTCTGTCGGCAGAATTCTCTCCAGCGGGAACCGTCTGCGGGTTCACAACCTGGATATGTCATGCGTAAGCCTCTCCCTTCTGGAATACTAAATCAGATCCGGCTTCTTTCTCTCTCTTTGACGTCTCGGGGCAGGAGAGGATTCAGGTGTATTACAAGTATATTTGTTCTAGAGAAGAATCGATTTTGATTATGAATTTGATAATTTTTATAAAACATTCAATTATGAGATTCATATTAAAAAGTACTTAACACAAAATACAGGTTGGCGATTTTTAAAAAAAATTATTTATTCGTGATATTTGTAACTATATTAGAATATAAAATACACAGGAATATAATGACATCAAAACGATTGTTGAGAAACTATTCCGTGGAAGCACTCTAATAATATGGTGTAAGTGGCTTTAGTGCCCTTTCTCAGTCTCCACTGGATCCATCCCATCTCAGTGATGCGGCTCAGAGAGAAGGGATCTCTTAGAGTCCCTCATTATCTTCCACACGTGGGGGTAAAGGCCCGACTTGGAGCTCCTTCGGCTGACTAAATAAGCATGAATGTTTTATTTATTTTTAATTTGGTTTGTATCGTATTTTATTTCATCTGTTTTACTAAGTTCCTTTTCTTATTTTTGTCGTGATTTCTATTATTTTTGTAATTGCATATATTGTATGAATGAGATTCTCGCATCGCAAATACTCAATGCCCTTGATTGAGGCAAACTGTATTTTTTCTCAATAAAATACGATTAAATGTAAATAAAATAATATGTGTTCATAAAGAAATAACTATTATTTTTAGACGCCTTGGAGGGTTATCAGGAATTGAAGCAAGGTCAGAAACGAGAGAGTTCGTATGGTTCTGAAGTTTATGATGGAAGAATAGGTATCTGGGTTGGGCCAAATCGGAAACATATAGTACATAAAGGTCGTTATGGATGATTTTATTTGTGAGAATGTAAGAAGCATCGAGGATTTTACGAAGGATTTTGGATTGTAAGGATTAAGCCCCAAAGCTCAATTCCGTAAGTACAAACAGACCTTATCATAGTCCTATATATGACTCATTTGTAATCAAGTGAAAGTTCAGAGCGTTTATCTAGTAAGTGCTAGAGATGGAAATTTCGAACAGTTTCTTGTCGTTTTAGATTGGTAAGAGGATTGCAAGTGCGACCCTTTTCCAGGTGGAATCCTAGGTATCGGATTTGTTCTACAGAGATAAGTGGAGTATTATAAAAAGATATTTTAGGACAGAAAGTCATGGGTTTACGACGAAGCGTAAATGTAATTTGATGGGATTTATTGGAGTTAATTTTAATCCTCCAGTATTGACACCGTTTTTCAAGGTTTGTGATGAGTGATTAAAGAGTTTGGGATCTTATTGATAGATCATTCACTATTTATAGGACATAATGAAAAATAAAATTAAAGAAAAAAAAAGAAAATTAATTAGATGAGATTTTCTATTTTTGAGATGACTTTTTAAAAAACATTTTACTGCTGTCAACTTGTTCATTTCAACAGATGTTTATAATAATTTATCTTTATCTTCAAAAATAACCTGAAAATCAATAACTTTTTGATGAACCTGTGTAACAAGATATAGTATTATTGTTCTGCTGCTGAACCTTGCTTATATATAATCATAACATTTATGTAACGAAGCTACTATATGTGTTCATATATCAATAGTTATCGAATGATCGTTGTGCATGTATATACTGAACTTCTTGTAGTTCGTTATAAGTTATATTTTTTTTTTGCCTTTCTTTTTTATGTAGATAGTTCTCTTGTAAATAGTTAATGAATAACAGTGCAGTTTCACCTTACAATTTCAACAAGTATTTTTAAAGGAAATTCATAGAAATCCTCTCAAATGTGATAAGTTTAATTTGTGTTACAACGCACATATGATGGTTCATCCATTAACAACAATAGATTAATTTATATCTGTACTAGGGAGTGAAGATGACATATTTAATTGTTTTATTTCTCCGTCTTCAATTTTTTTTTCTTTTTTTTAGAGGATTTTTTTTTCTTTTCTTTTCATTTTTTTTCAGCTTGAAGGAAAAAGATGAAGAATGCAAGTATATCGTGAGATCTGTAAAAACACTAACAACCAAAAGAAGCCAAATACTTAGCGCAGTTTAAAAACAAGTTTGTTTTGTGGTTAACATATGATCAAATTATGCCAGTAACAAAGTTAATAAGTTTCTATATGTGATTTTCCAAAAACAGACAATACAATGGCTTCATCTGAAAATCGGCTAAACACGTTGGTTAATGTGTTTTCTTCAGAATTATACCAGGCTTTGCGAAGCGATGATGGAAACTTAATTGTGTCCCCCTTTGGTATTCAGGTTTTATTAGCAATGACGCTTGAAGGTGCCGATGGAAAAACAGAAAATGAAATCGCTAATATCATACATCACTCAAAAAATGATAAAGAGATGCTCAAAGCCTATAAAGCTGCGATAAACAGTTTAGAAAGTCCTAATTTGAAAATCGCCACACGAATGTTTGTTAATAAGGCCGTTGAAATAAAGAGCGATTTTAAGGCACTTACAAGTGAGTATTTCTCGTGTGAAGTTAATAGAAAAGATTTCAAAAAAAGACCAGAAGAATGTAGAATTGATATAAATAAATGGGTGGAGAAAAAAACGAGCCAAAAAATAAAAGATCTGTTTCCGGAAGATTCTATACACGCTGATGATAGCTTAGTAATGGTTAATGCGATGCACTTCTATGCTGAATGGCAGACCAGATTCGAAAAAGAAAATACTATTGTTATGCCTTTTCATGTCACTCCTCATAGAACAGTGAATGTGAGAATGATGGTTGCGTGTAAATCATTCCATTACGTGGAGTCTGAAAAACTGGATGCCAAGATTATAAAACTTCTATACTCGGATGAAGTTTTCAGCATCATAATTTTTCTACCAAATAAATTAGAAGGTTTGTCTGAAACAGAAAATAAACTGAAATCTATAGATCTATTCGAAGAATTGTCGACTCTCAACCAACGTACGGTGAATCTCATGTTGCCGAGGTTCAGGATTGAAAAAACTATAGACCTCAACAATTTGATTTCACAACAAGTACCTACAGCCTTTACTGACAAGGCAAACTTCCCAGGGATAACCAATGGACCCCTTAATATCAGTAAGATTATACAAAAAGCCTTCATTGAGGTTAATGAACGAGGGACTGAAGCAGCCGCCGCCACCGGTATCGTTTTAACGCCTCGTTCAAGGAAGACCGTTGAAGAGATGAAATGCGACCATCCATTCTTTTTCCAAATTCTCAAAGGTGGTATTATACTGTTTCAAGGCGCTCTTATCGAACCAGATCCAGAGAGATATCCAACAATACTCGAACAAGGAACAAATAAATTTTGTAAATAATTAAACAGGAAAAACAAGCATCAGAGTATTTCATACATTAATGCTATAAAATTGTTAAATGTTCGTGCACAAATGTTATTTATAATAAATGTATATAAATATTTAAAATTGTAAATAAAGTCACTTAAAATATGTTGATACATAATTATAAATTTTTAATTGTTGCTTATTTTTAATCTGGTGGAGAGAGAGAACCACACTATTTTCACATACCACTAAACTCTGAGCACAAATCAATCTCTATTCTTGTTGGAGGCACTAAGTCCCGCATGGAGACAAAGCCTCTTTCTATGAACTCGTCATCCTCATGCTGTGCTGCCGCCTCCCTCTTCTGAAACTCAAGCATGGATCGGGCCTCTACGCCATTCATCCACCACAATTTTGGTCTTCTCCTTTTGTCAAATATTTTTAACAAGAGGATTTTTATTGAGACCTGATCGTTAGAAATTCCTTTAACATGTTCAGACCATCTGAGGTGGCTTGCATACTCTTCTCAAGAATGGATATGTAATATCTAATTATTGGCCGAATACGAAAAAGCCACAAGGATGGTAATGCAATTACGCCATTTGTATAGTACGATAATTTTTCATGCAAACGGAGCCCCCAATTATTGAGTTTAATGTTATAAATTAGATTCTATAAACGTTGTTTAGCTGTTTGAGCTCTAAATAGTGAGAACATATTTTGTTATATTTTTTAGGAAACTTTTAGTCATAAAGTAAATTTATGTATCGTTGAGGTGTATAACGCATCCGATTACTACACCAAGCTTCAATATTACCAGACGTCTACTTCACTAACGACTTTCGAATGCCTTTAAGTAAGTATGCAGGTGTATCTCACCCATTTAGGTGGATAGGATTATGTGACGGTGATTTTTACCTTCACTAACATTTTACGTACGATATAAATTATACGTGAAAATATTTTATACATTGTTCCTATGCCCAATGAGTCCATCTGAGTTGCTACAGAAACTGTAAATCCATTTACTGGAGGAAAATAGCTGAAATGATTTTCAAATATAATTTGAGGCGGTGTCCCCTTTTATCATGAGTTACCTCCTTACTTACTAAACTTGTGAGATTTAGATGATTTGTCATGGGACTCATTTCTCCCTGTTATCTGAAAGTCCAAAATTTTGGAACACATATGGTTCCATTAATACTAATTTGTTTGCCCACCTACAAGCTAAGAATTATTCAGTAAGATCCCGTGCTATAACTTTTATTAGCCAGCAAACGCTACAAGCTAAATCAAAATTCTTCTTTTTTTTTTTGCTTCGATTTTTCATTTGAGGTTTAACATTCTTATGTACAACCAGGATCTGAAGGACGAGTTAATCCACAGAAGTTTGAATTAAAATAACTCTTAAGCACGTTTTAATTACTTACCCGGATACTATTGTTTTAACAACATTACTGAAAAGAGGCCATTTTTATTCGGTTAAAGATTTCATGGACTTTAGGTAATGGTTTGTTTCCCAGCTGGAGGAAGTACTTACAGCCTCCGCGTTAATCATAAGTTGGCGGTAACTTATTAAGCGATTCTCAAGTGCTTACTCATAAGCTTCAAGCTCCAAGCTCGGTTAATTGATTTCAGATTAACTACCGTCCAAGTTTTGGCCATGCGGTAACCTTGCTAGGGAAGTTAAGTTTTAAAATATGGAACGCTTGAGTGTAGTATGTATTCGAAGTAAACCTTAATGCTAAATTAATGATTCAGTAATCTAAAATATAGACTAAAAGATTTGATACAAGATGGTTAACGGAACACACTTCTTAATGGTAAGTGAATTCAGATTATGTTGAAATGTAACAGAATGTGTCAATTCCTATTTCATAGAAAAGAATAGTGTTACCCAAAATCGGTGTTGGTCCTGCACTTTGCAAGACCATGGCAAAGACCTTCTAATTGCTGCAAGACAAGACCAAAACTAGTTAAAAAAAAAAAATAATAATAAAGTGTTTATGTGAATAACAAATATGGCAAAATGGTTACTAATGCTCGAGAATTTTAGTTAACATATGCAAAGAATTGGTGGAAATACTTTTGTATTTACTTTCTCCAATTTTTCATTCGGGGTTTAGTTAAGTTCTCCATTCCAAAAAATGACTGTAATATCTTTATATTGGTAACATTTTTAAATTATAAAAAGGTTATTAACATTTTTATATTATAAAAAGGTTATTAAATTTCCAACAAAACTTGCCCGGATACGCTGCTATAGACCATCAAAGAAATCGTACTCCAATGATTTCTCTGATTGTTTATCAGGAAAATTAGTCTATTTTTGTTTATGAACATATTTATAAAGAAAAATTGTTTAAAATCTGTTGGAAAATCATGTGAGTGGACACACCAGATAGTTTATTTAACTAATTGGTGACATCGTATAGATTGTCTTTACTCTGCAGCTCTTCCAATCCAATGTGCGGGCTATCATTCTTTACAACGGATTTAATGTATTGTCAAGTTAATTTTAATAACTTGGTTGAACTGGACTATGTTCAATAAAACATCTCGTTCCTATTTCGTAGCGTTTTCTTTTAGTAACATGTTTAATATCTACGAAAGACAAGACCAAGACCAAGACTGAGTCCGCATTTGGGCAACACGAGAAACGACGTTACCTATAATAGAAAATAGTAGTGTGAAAACACATCAGATAGAAAGTAAAATATTAACAGGCCATTCAAATTATTTTCTAGATTGGTTAATTGACAAACAATAGAATTATCCTGAATCAACAAATTTATTTATAATGTACAAATATAGATTTTACAAGTAGATTTTATATAAATTTATATAGATGTAGATACGCCATAGTTCCATTAGAATTTTAGCAGTCACGAATAATAATATATTTTTACTATTCATCTTTCCAATGTATTAACGTATAAGTGAGATCATCAAGTAATAAATTTACCGTACTGGAAAATATTTCAGTACTTTAATAATTAAGCAATAATCCAGAATTATCGTTGTACTTATACGTATCTATCATTGTACAGGCTCAAAATTTATTTGTATAGTGCAGAACAGGCTTCGTTTTTAGTTCACTCACATACTAAACATATAAAATCCTGTTACTGTAAGGATAGAAGCCGTGCATGAGAATTTTGTTATTTATTAAAAATATCAAAAAATATTTTTTTAAATTAAGTAAAGTTCCCAAGGGCTATTGTTCTGCATTTAACTTTTCTATAAAATTTCAGTTTGTCGAAGACTAAGCTATCTTAAATAGCAATATTTTAATTATTAAAACCTAAACATGTGATATGTATCCATTGGCAACTATAGTACTTATAGGCTTTTGGTAAAAGTTACAGTTTATCTCAAAACTGGTACACTTTAAAACTTAATCTTTAAAAATGAATATTTCGTCTTCAAATTTTGATGTCCGCCCGCATCGAAAGCTTTAAAACAATTGATCTCACAACAAGCATTTCAGTTTTGAAACCTCTCAACTATTTCATAAAATCTTATTATATTGTAGGATTAAATCTTGCAAACATGTATAAACAAAGAAAACGCCTGCATATATACAACGGTAAGTTTTAAATACATGTACTTCATAAATATTATGTTAACAATATTTATAACGATGGTAGAGGGGATATGTAAGCCAGACTGAGATAGGCCGATATTTACGACGTTGAGGATCCCAAGGCGCTACTACTTCAGGTGTAATCTCTTCAGCGTCAGAGATATGGCAATGTCGCTTCCTTGTGTTCGGTACCGGGAAGGCTCATCTTGACAGTTTTTTTTTTTTATTACAAATAACATATTTTAGGATATAAATATAATTCATATTTAAATAATCCAAATTGCTTAATTGAATTTTATGAAAAATTAATCCGTGGCGTCTATGCATAGTGTGTTAAATGCAAAAATCATATTTATAAAACGCAGTTGAATGTTTGGAATTCTTACAGGTGCGTAGTGTTGCCGAAAATCGATCTTGGTGTTGGTCTTGCACTTTGCAATTGGCATAACCAATACACTCTTCCAAATTTTTCATTCTGGCTTAGTTAGGATTCCCCTATCTAAAAAATTACAGTAATATCTCTATAGAAATAAGCTAATAGGTAACTTTAAGACTGTTGCGAGACTCTTGCGCAAGACCAAGTCCAAAACCAAGACTGAGTATGCCTCGTCTTGGTCTCGCATTTGGGAAACGCTATAGGCGCGGGTTCAATTTTCGAGTTTCAACCCATGATTCACAAAGCAATGTTCATATATGTAATAGTCACATCATATAGACCACTAGACAAAAAGAAAGAAATCAAAACTGGCTTTATAGCGATATCCACGAAATTGCACTTAATACACTTTTCACAGATTCCAAAGATATAATACGCCAGGATATATCTCTTCCTTTCCCGGTTCTCGTCAGAGATGGATTTTGATAAATGAGATATCAAACCAGATGAACTTTTTTATTGAAATGCCGATTTTGGAACTGTAAATTCCTTTTAACAAAAACAAACACAAGGGACCGTGGTAGCTTAGTGGTAGCTTAGAGTAGAAGGTAATAGAGCAGCTATGGCTGATAACAGGTATTTAATTAATTAACTAACGGAGAAAACCTGGTGGTTGAGTGTTTTCTTACATCGTACTGAAGCAAAGACCCTCCATGGGTTTTGGTGAGGTACAGGTTAAATAAAATTCATTTTAAAAAAATTGGGAGGTTCCATGTTCCAAACTCAGATATTTTCAAAGTTAACGAATCGATACAGGATAAGTTGTGTTTTAGAGATATCGAAGCAGTCATGAAGAACCAACACAGTTTCTTGAAACTATTGAGTCAGGCTTTTTAATATTAAAAAATGTCCCGTTTTCGAGGTAAATCTTGCCGAATTTCTATTAAGCCTAGTACACACTAGTAGAATTTTTTGGGCGATTTGCCTATAGACTCTCTAGAGATGGTCTCGAGACACGGTCTATAGACAGCATTTTCCGTCTCGTCTAGCGTCCACACTACGTTGTACACATCTGAGTTCCATCTTTGCAGTACACCTCAATGCTAACAATAAGAAAAACAGGTGAAAATGTAAAC